TTTTTTTTGACGATACATTCTCAGCAGCTATGACTTGAGGCAGTAAGAATACCTAGCGACAGTGAGCGACATAAGCGACAATTAGCGAGAATACGCGACCTTCAGCGTTGGTAAGAAACATAAGTTTTAAGCAAAAGTTGGCACGACTTATTTGAAATCTACACTTTGACTGGATAGTCTAAAAAAGATTTCTCCTTGAATCTATTGCTAGCAATCTTAGTATCGCTGTCGCTTATTGTCGCTCGTTGTCGCCAACTCTCGCTGCTGTCGCTTAATGCCACTAACTTGCCCAGCGAAAAAAAATACAGCTTATCACAGATTTTTTGATCTTTCATGCTTGGTACCTTGCTATCTTTCCTAATCGAGAGCATTATGTTTTATCTATGGTAAAAACTATCAAATTTCTCGTTCATTGTTTTCAATGCTCGTCGGGAACTAAGGAATAAGAAGAAGTTCAACACCTACCACTTCAGACCCATTTGGCCTCGTGTGCTGGAGAAAGTCAAATCCGAAGCCGAGCTCTTCTTTGATGACGATAACTTCGCTTACAAGGTAAGTTTGTGGGTTTTGATCTTCTACCGATCCTCTGGCAATTCAGATTGCACCTCATCGAGACGCTGTGGGGTTGATTCGTAAATTGGATAAGGAGGAAAATTACAACAAAGTTGTGCAATTTTTGGAAAGATACGTCTGAAAAGCATTTACATGTGTACAGCTGTGAGAAAACACTAATAATGTTTATTATGCACTTTTCTACAACACGTAATAATGCACAATAAGAAAAATAAAGACATTTGAATAACTTTTTAAAAACATAGTTCACAACCCGTTATAAATTATTGGTGTATTGCACAAATCCATACCCGTCGAGAATAAAATAAAATAATATATTGGAGGAGATTAGCTAAGTGAGCATCGAGAAGTTAAAATGTGCCCTATATGCACTTTGGCTGCTCTACCAGCATTCAATCGATAATCGATCGGTTTACGCGGCTAGCTCATGTCAGGATAGTTTGGATTGAAGAGCACCGGCATGAAAAATTCAAACACCACCAGTATCAAAATCACGGCCACAGTATAGAAAATGACGAAGAAGTAGAGTTCACGGCCCTGAAAGGGTAAGAATAATGGAAAAATGATGGAATCAAATCGAAGAAAGAAAAACGCAAAAAATCAGAGATAATTGAATTCGTAATGAAGAGAGCTATGATATTATCTTATAAGTCTTGACCAAATCTTTGAAGATCATAAACCCGTCCATTTTTAACTTCGTTTATGGAAATGAAATACTGGAAGTAAATTATCAACTA